CCCTACTATGCTCAAATAGGCAATATCCTTGTCCTTAATCATCTCAGTCCCCGCTGACAACCTGCTCATGCTCTAACATTACCTCTCGGCAGACATACTGCCCAAATACTCTGATGAAAGATCGTAACCAAAGCTACCCCACAGGGCTCACCCCCAACCTTGGAAACCGAAAATCTCAATACCTCTCCTGTTTCCCATAGGAACAGAAATAACACCGCTCAGGTCACAAAAAATAACATCTCCACCATCGGCTGATTGCTCAACTCATGCCGTAATCCTCCATAACCGCCATCTCTACTCTTTCTTGAGTCTCGCGACTCTAATTGGCATCTCAACAACAATCCCTCGGAGCTAACTCGATTTCCCTTTTAAGGGATGCTTCACTAGAACTCGTTCATCATGGCCCTCTAGCCCCATACTCTTTCACCTCTGATCTCGGTCTAACCAATCACCACGGAATAACTGGTAGAACCAATAACACTAACTGCCACGGGTCATGGTACTCGAACCATGTGGCCACCTCTCGATCTGCTATGAATCAGGGTACCCGAACCATGTTATCTCTTCTCAATCCGCTACGAATCATGGTACTCGAACCATGTTATCTCTTCTCAATCCGCTACGAATCATGGTACTCGAACCATGACATCACCTCTCGATCTGCTGCAAATCATGGTATACGAACCATGAAATCACCTCTCGATCTGCTACAGATCATGGTACACGAACCATGAAATCACCTCTCGATCTGCTACAGATCATGGTACACGAACCATGAAATCACCTCTCGATCTGCTACTTAAAACCTCAGAAATGTTCCCTGTATCGAGTATGGGTCCTCTGATTTCAGTAGTACGGGCCCATACTACCTGCCACATCTACCCATACTTTCCACACGGACCATCCCCAAGTTCCTAAGTAGCTGCTTGACCTTCTCAATCACCAACCCCGTCATGCGTGTTCGCTCCTCTGTAGATTATCCAACTCTGTCAGTGTACTCATCTGACTAGGGTCACCCTTTCCTAGGCTCTTCCTAGGTTCTCACACCTATCCGCCATCAGCTGCTAAAGAACTCCTAATGATGCCAGCCATCTACCTCCTGAATATCGTTATATTCACTTGGTAGCTAACTCCCATCATCGAGAGTTCCACAAAGCACGAAGCAAGCATCATTCGGGCATCGAATAACCTCATAAAACCTCTCTAGACTATTATCCTACTTGCCTTCCTCATACTCGTAGGATATCACCGAACTCAAGCAACTTCACCCCACGCGGGCCTATGACTACCCTCTTAGAGGATTCCACGAATGCTCATCCAGGTATCTCTCCTAGCTTACTCTTCTACTCAATCCCTCTCTCAAAAGGATTCCCTCTGGATACTCTTACTCAGCACATACTCGAAAGCATATCACAGATAACTGCAACTCCTAGGCTAAGGCATCACAAATCAGGCCACTCTAGTCCTAAAATATGAAATACCTAGCCTATCTCTAGCATGCATAATATCTCATAGAATATCTCATAACACAAAATAAGGGTATTTTGGGAAATCACCGTTCGGGCTCTGGCTGATTGTACACACTGCTCCTTCTCGTTTTCTCTTAGAAACTCTTGTTTGCTTTAGAAAAATCATTTCTTTGAAAAATTTTCTCAAATCCTCAGTTTGAGTCCAGATTTACCCGAAGGCGCATCCGAATCCCTCAAACCAAGGCTCTGATACCAACTTGTAACACCGTAATTTTTCAAACAGATTTTTCATTTTAAAATCGCATACTTTTCATAACATATTGTATGGAAATCTCGTTTATTCAAATTACAAAACACAACTCTTTTAAAAATCCAGGATCCTCAAAACATAACTCTTTCTCTGGTGTGTACAATCAAGCCGGTGCCTTCCCGCGATTCCTGAGAACAACCTGAAACACATAACACATAACACGGTAAGCACGAAGCTTAGTGAGTTCCCCAAAATACCACATACAACACATACGCCACTCGAGGCTACAGTACGACCCTCCGGTCGATGTGTCTCAGCGGAACCCTCCAGTCCCGTAGCTCGTTGGACCCTCTGGTCCGGTCATAGCTCGTTGGACCCTTCGGTCCGGTCTGTATCGTTGGACCCTTCGGTCCGGTCTATATCGTTGGACCCTTCGGTTCGGTCTATATCGTTGGACCCTCCGGTCCGGTCTATACAACACATAGCATACATATATCACAATGCGCATAACCTCATACATACACATAGCACACAAGACCCTCCGGTCTACACATAGATACCACTCTAGGTAATGTATAGTGAGAAGACTCACCTGACAAGCAGCAAGTAAATACCCTCGCACCCGAAACTCGAACTAGCCTCCGCCTAGCACAAAAGATGAATATCTCTAATCAATACTCTTCACACGACCCCAATTAATGAGGGCTATTCTTCTTTCTCTAACCCTTGAATTGGTCAAAAGACCATTTTAGCCCTCCATGGTCTCCATTACTCATGTTGACCAAACCCCAGAGTCAACAGAAGTCAAACTCGAGTCAATAGTCCATGTATGACCCGAATCGCCGAGTGCACCCTTGCGACTCGTCGAGTCCACTTACTTTCCTCATAAATCTCGTGACAGCCCAGCTCAGCTCGTCGAGTTGACCCCCAACTCGTCGAGCTATCGCATGCTCAAGCTCATCGGGACAAACCCTCACTGACTCGTCGAGTCAACTCATGGACTCGACGAGTCCCCTCGGTCTGATTCCTCATTCAGACGTCCAAAGTCAGATCTCTCATTCCAAACCCTACATCTAGCCCTTTAAGACGCCAGAGACACATAAAGTCTCAACCTTTACGTTCATGCATGGCATAAATGCCTCAAAATGCCAAAACAAGCCCTTCTCAAGGTGTTAAGCACAACAACCCTCATTTGGACGAATAAAGTTGGGACCTTTGGACTCTAGGGACCTCACAAGGTCCAGATCTGAGGACTAGGCTTCTAGCTAATCCATTTTACTCAAAGTCCCAAACCAAAGGTGGTAAAAGCCCTAGAACTCCAAACACATGAGATCTAACCAAAATAATGAGAAAGGTGCAGACTTTTACCTTCCTCAGAAGCTCTGGACGATCTATCACTGGATCCAACTTTCCCCCTCTTGATCCTTGCTTGATCTCCTTCTCAAATGATGCACTAAAAATCCCAAGATAGCTTGTCTCTCACTTTCTAGCTCAAATGACCTTTAGGGTTTGCTTCCAGGGAAAGGGTGGCCGCAAATGAGGCTATAAGTGCCTTTAAATAGGTCCCAAACCCCGGAAATTAGGGTTTCTCTAATCAGTGCCTACTCGGCGAGTCCCTCTCCTCGGACTCGTCGAGTCCACTCATTAAATCCACGGGAGAAACCCGACTCGACTCGGCGAGTTGGACCCTCAACTCGTCGAGTCCCTCCTTTAATCACAAGATTAACCTACACCATAATACCTCTGAAAATCCGGATGTTACAGATCCTCAGGGGGGGGGTTGTCTCTTGCGGCTTAAGCGAAGGTAACAACCTCCTCATTTTGATTTCATCCTCCCGATAGGTGAAAAAGAAGAAGCGTAGGAAATATAAGAGAGGATATAAGATAGATAGATAGATAGAGAGAGAGAGAGAGAGAGACTAGGTCAGATATATTTACTTTATTTCCTTAATTGCAAGATTTCAATTAAATGATTTCCTTAATTAAAATTACAAAAGGTCAAAAATACCCTTTAATGATTTATTTAATTATTTATTATTTCTTGAATTCTCATTGGTGCATTTAGGCACACAATAGTTGCTAGAAACATTTGAACGTAACTATATATATATATATATATATATATATATAGGTTCAGGTGTTTAAAGTAATTATTGTGTTATTGTATGCATAAATGTGGGCAATTCAAAATTAAATAAAAAATTAAATAATTAAATAAATAAATAAGGGTAATTTAGTAATTTGTTTAGTAAATTCCAAAAATAATCCCTATAATCATTGTATTGACTAAATAAATAAGCGTGTCTTCCTCAATCTCCCACCAGATAAAGCCCTAGCATCCTAGAGGGTATCGACGCTTTTCCTTCCTTATAGCCACCGCTGCCGACGACCACCACCACACCCTTCCATGTTCATGTGTTATTCTGTCAACACATCGAAGCCGAAGATAATCTCCGCCGATGATTCCACAACTTGCCGGCGCAAAACCCAACGAAAATCGACAAAGCACTGGAGGACGATGCTGAAGGAAATTAAGGAGGACAGCATGTACAGACGAAGCCCTGAATCAACAGCCTGAATTTGCAGAAATTCTGAATAAAATCAACAGCGTGCACAGACGAAGCATTGGCTGGCTAACAATTTTTTGGGACTTGCTTTCTGCATTCAGGTTTGAGTTTTTATCATTTTATTATTTTGTATCTCATGTATGCCATGATAAATGTCGATACAATCTGTTTCACTTGGAGAAAAATGTCGCTACAATTTGGTTTAATTGGAGAAAAATTCAGCAGTCATTAATTAGTATTTAGCTGATCAATCCAATTGAAATTGTCTCAATGTATTGCTGGAATGGTATTTTTGTCCATGGGGTATTGCATATATGTTATTGTCTCTTAAGATATGTCACGGTTTGGTGTTGCTTTGTTCAATTATTTGAATTGCTAATTCTTTTTGGAAATTGTTAAATTGCTTAGGGTGCTATACAGTTTTAGGGCTCAAATTGTTAAATCACTTATTAAAGAATATGAACTTTTTATTTTTTGTTGTTTACACATTTATTTCATAAAATTCATGAATATGTGTTTGTTTTGTTACATATATGTTTCATAAAACTTGAATATGAACTGCAGTTTTACGAGGTGAAAAAAGGGAACACAAATGAATCCATTAGAGGAAAACAAAAAGGGAACACAAATTATTCATTATGTTGTGGTTATGGCAAAGTTCAACTACCAAATTTAAAGAACGCACCACCAACTTATGAAAGAATGTTTCGAGCAATGGATTCTAAAAGCAAAAACTTCATGAAAAACATTCGACGTTACAATTCAATGTTTTCTTTTACGTCGATGGGTGGTAAAATTGATTATTCAATCAATAAAGGGAATGCTCCATACATTTTCAGACTTGGTGGTCAAAATTATCATAGTATTGGAAGCCTTTTGCCACCAAATGGATCGCAACCAAAATTCTCTCAGTTATACATTTATGATACCGAGAATGAAAATTCAAATAGACAAAGATGCTTTGGGTGTATTTCAAAAATTCTTATTCATACTTAATATTAATCCTTTTTACCTTTTTTACTAATATTATGTTTATATTCAATTTTTATAGTGGGGAAAAGCATCAATCTACATCAATCGATAATTATATTATTGAAGATTTGAAGGTGATGTTAGATTCAAATAATGTCTTGGTTAGCTCTTATAGGATGGTAAGAGATACTTTTACAAAAAATCCTCAAGTTGATTTGAAGTTAAGAATTATCGGGAAAAGGGATCGAGATGGAAGGACATATAACTTACCAACTGCTTCTGAGGTTGCCGCTTTAATTGTAGGTGACATTTCTGATTCAATTGAAAATAGAGATATCGTTGTTCAAACAAAATCGGGATTTCTACAACGTATCAGTGAATTGCATCCTTCTTACCTTCCTCTCCAATATCCGCTACTATTTCCATATGGTGATGATGGTTACAACGTTGATATTCTTCATAGAGGTGTTACATCTACAACAAATAGCAAGCGCGCGAAATGTACAATGAGAGAATTTTTTGCTTTTAGGATTCAAGACAGGGATCATTCGTTCTCATTGATTCTTAATTCAAAAAGGCTTTTTCAACAATTTTTGGTAGATGCGTATACGATGATTGAAAGTGAAAGATTGTATTACATACGTAGCCAACAACATGTTCTTAGATGCGAGTCTTATGAGAATTTACGTAACCAAAAAGCTCAAGGAATTACAAATATCTCCAACATCGGCCAACGTGTGATATTACCTTCATCTTTTACTGGTGGTGCGCGCTATATGCTGCAAAACTATTTGGATGCCATGTCCCTATGTAAATGGTTTGGATATCCTGATTTCTTCATAACCTTTACGTGTAATCCCAAATGGCCTGAGGTTAGAAGGTTTCTTAAGGATACTTCACTTCAACCAGAAGACAGACCTGATATACTATGTAGGTTGTTCAAGATCAAACTTGATGCATTTATTAAAGATCTAAGGGAGAATCACATTTTCGGCATAGTTCAAGCAGGTATTTCAAATTATGTTTCTTCATAATTGGTAAAATTTTATGCTTTTTATTATATATTTATTATATTTTTTCTTACGGTATAATCATATTTTATTCTTTGCAAAATATTATGCAGTTGTTTATACAATTGAATTTCAAAAAAGAGGTTTGCCGCATAGTCATATATGTTTATTTATGCATTCTGACTACAAGCTACCCACTGTTGAACTTATCGATCCGATAATTTCCGCTGAGATACCAAACATAGACGAAGATCCAGAATTGTTTTCACTTGTGAATGAGTTCATGATTCATGGTCCATGTGGAGCTGAAAATATCAATTGTCCATGCATGATCGACAAAAAGTGCTCAAAAAACTTTGCAAAGCAATTCTGTAATCATTCGTCTGTTGATCAGAATGGTTTTCCATTATATAGGAGAAGAAACGATGGTCATTTTGTTGAAAAATCAGATGTCAAGTTGGATAATAGAAATGTTGTCCCCTACAACAAATATCTATTGAAAAGATATCAGGCACATATTAACGTTGAATGGTGCAATCAGGGTTCTTCTATAAAGTATTTATTCAAATACATAAACAAAGGACCTGGTAGAGCTACAGTTGCCGTTGTACGAAGCAATAATGACTCTGATACTAATGATGCAGTCGATGAAATAAATGAGTATTAAGACTGTAGATATTTATCTGCATGTGAAGCATCATGGAGAATTTTTAAATATGATGTTCATTACAGATATCCTTCTGTGGTTAGACTTCCTTTTCATCTTCCTGGTCAACAACAAATTGTATATGGGGAAGACGATGATATTGACGATGTTCTCGACAAACCTTCTGTTGCTTCTTCAATGTTCACAGCTTGGATGGAGTGTAATGCAGTTAATCGTGATGCACGGAAACTCACGTATGTTGAATTTCCTACAAAGTTTGTTTGGAAACGTGGTGATAGGATTTGGAAGCCACGGGAAGTAGGAAAGTGCATTGGTAGAATTCATTCGGTTTCACCTAATCTAGGGGAAGCTTATTTCTTAAGGATTTTGTTAAACAAGGTTAAAGGTCCGAAATCATTTGAAGAAATTCGCACAGTAAATGGTGAAGTGTATTCTTCTTTTAGAGATGCTTGTTATGCGCTTGGTCTATTGGATGATGACAAAGAATACATCGATGCAATCAAAGAAGCAAGTCATTCTGGATCAGGTTTTTACCTACGATTCTTATTTGCTACATTGTTGATGTGTAACAGTATGTCTAAACCGGAGGTTGTTTGGGAAAACACATGGGAATATTTGGCAGATGGAATTCTTTATAACCAACGACAGAGATTCAAGTCTCCAGGTATTAATTTTTTTATTATTATTTATTTAAAAAGTCATTTATTTTTTAAACATACATTAAATAATATTTTAATTATAAATAAATTTTTTTAATTAGATTTCTATTTAACTTGATTTTAGTCGTGCAGACTTATCACTCAATGAAGATCAGCTTAAAAACTTAACTTTGTTCGAGATAGAACAAGTTTTACTTCGGAACAACTCCAGTCTCAAAAATTATAAAAACATGCCTTTCCCGGATGTTGATTCTGTTTCTTCTTCAAACAATCGACTTATCACCGAGGAGCTAGATTATGACATTCACGTTATGAAGACTGAGTTTGATAGTATGTTTCTTGCATTGACAGATGAGCAACGTCACATTTTCCTTGATATCATGAGTGCAGTTAAAGAAAATAAAGGAGGTGTCTTCTTTGTTTATGGTTATGGTGGAACTGGTAAGACTTTTTTATGGAAAACAATATCTGCAGCTATTAGATGCGATGGTAATATTGTTTTGAATGTTGCTTCAAGTGGGATTGCTTCATTATTATTACCCGGAGGTAGAACAACACACTCTCGATTTATAATTCCTTTTGAACTAACAGAGGATTCTTTTTGTAAAATAAATCGTGATAGTGACCTCGCTGGCTTATTGAGGAAAACCTCATTGATAATTTGGGATGAAGCTCCTATGGTCCATAAGCATGCATTTGAAGCTTTAGATCGAAGTTTGAAAGATGTATTTAGGTCTGAAAATTCTATCAACTCAGATATTCCGTTTGGAGGTAAAGTTATTGTTTTTGGAGGAGATTTCAGACAGATTCTACCTGTTATTCCGGGTGGAAGTAGACAAAACATTGTTAATGCTTCTTTAAGTTCTTCATATTTATGGCCACAATGCAAGATACATAAATTAACAAAAAACATGAGGCTAACTGTTGGAAGAGATCAATCTGATATAGAAAAAATTAGAGATTTTGCACAATGGCTGTTGGATATAGGAGAAGGAAAACTTGGTGGTATCAACGATGGAGAGACGGTTATTGACATTCCACATGATATTCTCATTAATGATCCACATGATCCTATAGGTTCATTAATCGAGTTCGTATATCCTTCAATTTTGGAAAATTACAAAAATACAAGTTATTTTCAAGAAAGAGCAATACTTGCTCCAAAGAATGAAGTGGTTCAGGAAATAAATGACCGTTTGCTATCGAAGTTTCCAGGAGATGAGTTGAATATTTAAGTTCAGATAGTATATGCCAATCTGAATTTGTCCATGATTAGTTTGATGCAAATTTATATTCACCTGATGTTTTAAATGGTCTGAAAGTATCGGGTTTACCAAACCATAAGTTAGTTTTAAAAATCGGTGTTCCGGTTATGTTGCTGAGAAATATTGATCAGAAAAATGGCTTGTGTAATGGGACAAGACTCCAGGTGATATCATTGGGCAAACGTGTTATTAAGGCACGTATCATATCTGGAACTAATATTGGCAACCGCACTTTTATTCCAAGAATGTTTTTAACTCCATCAGAAAAGAAAATTCCCTTCAAATTTCGAAGAAGACAATTTCCATTGGCTGTATGTTTTGCAATGACCATTAATAAGAGCTAGGGACAGTCATTATCCAAGGTTGGTTTGTTTCTCAAAAATCCCGTGTTTTCACATGGTCAATTGTATGTTGCCTTATCTAGAGTTCAAAGCAGAGACGGATTAAAATTATTAATTTTAGATAAGGATGGTACTCTCACAAATAAAACTTCCAATGTTGTTTATAAGGAAGTTTTTGGGAATTTATAAACATTATTTTTCTACCATCATTTATTTTGTTTTTGTGTATCACACTTCATTTCTACTAAACATTGTATTTGATTTATTCATGTTAATTACAATATCAGTATTCTTAATTTCTACTAAACTTTGAAATCTTTTTTTATTACACAATCAAAAGTATAATTCTATTTCTATTTCAATTTCAATTTATCACCCGTGGATTTCCACGGGTTTAAACCTAGTATATATATATATATATATATATATATATATATATATATATATATATATATATATATATATGCGCGAGAGAGAAAAGAGTTTTGAATTGAAAAGTTACAATAATGGTCCCTAGGAATTCTCTTTTGCTTCGATTTCTATTTAAATTGGAAATACTATATTTACCTTCAACTTTATAAAACTTGACATTTTCATTTATTCTCTTTCATATTTAATTTGAAATACTAAATTTGGAAATACTCTTTATTAATTCAAATAAATCCCTTTCATATTTAATACCCAAAAATATAATTTTATTTTATAAAGTTCATAAAATATAATCAATCTTTTTTATTCTTTTACCTGGAAATATCGATGATGCTCAGCAAAATTAATTCATTTAAATTGATTATCTTTTATATAAATTAATTTTAGTTTTAAAAATATAACATGATAAAAATAATTTGTTTTTAGTGTTTATTTTTAATATTAATTAATTTTAGAAAAAAATAGCATGACAACCCACATCCTGTAAATGACAAATTTTTTATGCGGTTTGACAAATCTTAGGTGGAGCCTACGTGGACTGTGGTAAACGTGATATCACTCCCTCCAGCCTAAGAATAAATTGACACCCTTATGGCTTTCTATTTTGTTATATAGAAACTCTAGGTGTGATAACAACTTAAACATTAATGTGTTGCCTATTTATTTTCATAAATATATGAGAATATCTAAAATGATGAATAGTTACTTCTTGCCAACTCAAATCAAACCGACACACTTTTACTTTTTCATTTTAAGTTGTTATTAGAACAAGAAGTATTCTTTCTTAGATATTAGGGATATTGTTATCTCATTTGTCATGTTCACGCTGTAGGCGACTTCAATTCACATCTTCTTAGTTTAATGACAATCCAATGACAACATAACAAGTTGTTTTTTTGGTCTTTATAACATATACCGACTGCATTTCACTTGATCGTTCTAAGCAACCCACAAAGCTTAGGACTGCATGTTTCTAACCATTTGCCCAATGAGTTAAACGGACACCCTCATGGCATTTGTTTTACAATATAGCAACTATTTGTTTGGTAACAAATTATATGGGAAAAACTTGCTTTCAATCACTACACATTTGATACAAAAATATTTGTGTAATATGATACACGATTATAATACATTCAACACACAAACATATATATATATATATATATATATATATATATATATTCTTTTCCACGACATTTAAATAAATTTGAATGGCTTGTGCAACATTTAATACGAAGGTATATATATATATATATATATATATATATATATATATATATATATATATATAATATGAAATACGGTTATAATGCATGTCACATATAATATTGCCTTCATGATCTTTAAGAAAAATTGAAAAGATATGTGCATCTGAAACTATAGAAACAACACCAATACTAAAATCTGAAAACTTATGTTCAAATTTTTTACCCTCTTCTTGGTTTTGGTCTTGCTTTTGTTTGCAAAAACAAGTCAGATACTCATAACGTCGAAATTGAAGATTTTGTAAAAAAAATGTATTTGTTGTTAGAAAAGCATGTTTGAACCTCACAAATGAGTTCGAAACAGACAAGTTTCAAAGATAATAGTTGTTTTTGTATTTTTCTCATAATGATGATTATTTTTATATACAAAAATTGTTATTTCTGTGATTATCCCATACTTTTATGTGTTATGATGATTTGCCAAGGTTTTAATGGATACTTGGATAAAAGATGAAGGTTGTTTCTTGATCCGCCCAAAACTAAGGTGCTGTTTGTTTTTTTAGAAAAACCTCTTCAAACCATTTTCTGCTGCGCGGCGCAGCACACGCGCAGCACTTTCCCTCTCGCAGCAGTTTGTTTTTTGGAAGACTTCAGACTGCAAAACCTCTGCGCGTGTGCTGCGTGGCGCAACACTTGACTTGCCTCTTCAAACCTCTTCGGTTTTCAATTTTTTGAAGTTTTTTTTAGAATTTTGGTATAACTTATTTTTTTTTAACATTTAAAAAAAAAAGCATTTATTTACGGATTTGATACAATTTCTTATTATAGTTTCCACAAATTTTTTTAACTTAATTTTTTTTTTTTAAAAAAAAGCTTTATTTTTTCAATTTTTTTACCGTTTCCGTTAATAATATTTTCAGTTTCAGTTTCAGTTTCATCTTTTTTAACGTATGTAATTTTTTACGAACTTTGTACACATCGTTTGCAATACTTTCTTAATTTTTTTTATTATTTTCTTTTTTATGTTTTTTAAAATTAGTTTTTTTTTCTAGAATAAAGCTGTTAGCTTCTTTTATATTTTTGTAAGTCTTTTTTTTTAAAAAGTTTTATATTTTTGTTTTTTTACATGTTATTTTTAGTACTCTTTTAATGTTTTAAGACTAGAATTATTAAAATTTCGGTGTTGAGAACTATTTTAAGTTTATAAAATTAGTTTATTTAAATATCAGTTTACTGCAGCAGTCTACAAATGTTAAAAAACAAACATGCTTCTTGTTATTGTTATGGGGTGCAGTCGATTGTCCACCTCTTCTCGAGGATTGCAGATGGTCTTCATTAATTTTCGCATGAAAAAACAAACAAAAACAAACAGCAACAAAACCTCTGCGTTGCATTATCCCCTTCCTCTCTCTCTCTCTCTCCATGGAAAGCGTTGTTCATAGCTTCGTATCACCTCCTGACCACAGGCTACAATCACAAAACTTCTCAGCGATGAGAACTTCATCGATGTCACCATCACCCATTGCACATAGAAGCATACCGTCCTCTCGTTGCCGCGCAGAGAAGCCCATCGTAGCTGCTGCTTTCCCTTATTCACATTCAGTCTTCCCTTTGTCTACACCCCTCTCACTACCTTCTCCTTGTCATTCGAAAGGTAACATAATTATGTTTTTGTATTGAAACGTCTCAAAGGGAATTGTGTTTTTGCAATTACAATCTGGTAATGGCTTCCACACGAAGATTCTTCTTCTATGAGATTGAACCTTTAATTTTAATTTGGGGATCATTTGGTTCGTTATTGGAACTCCCTCCTTTCTTCAAATTCACGTCTATCTGGTTTATTCGTCCCTAACTTTTCATGATTGCTAATTGTGTTTCTATTTGTTTGGCATTTGGAATTAGTTCAGTTTTATTCGCAAGACCAGATGCAGGAGTGAACAGTGAAACAGGTGTATGGGCGATGCAAGGTAATGATACAGTGTATTATTCCTACTTGCATTAGCCATTGATTTATAACATTTTGCGACAGATTTCTATAGTTTGAGGAAGGATGTCGAGGCAACCTCCAAACGTGTTGAAGAAATTAGGGCTTCTGCTGGTTTAGAGCAACTAGGAGAAGAAGTTGCTAAATTGGAAAAAGCAACAGGAAGTGATTCTTTTTGGGATGATCGTAGCTCAGCTCAACAAACACTTATGGCTCTCACGGATATCAAAGACAAGATGAATCTTCTCAAGGAGTTCCAAGACCAGGTTTGATCTTTTTATTTCCGAATTCCAATCAAGCATCATGTTGAAAAAAAGAAAGTTTACACTGACATGGTACATTCTACATTGATATGTTAGATTGATGATGCAGAAACTATAGTTAACCTTACAGAAGAGATGGAGTCGACTGATAC